GAGTAACATGAAAGGAATACTGTGTTGCTCGTGAATCTTTTACCCCACTTTTCTTTTTCCTCTTCACTAGGCATCATATGTTAATTACTGTAATTGACTGCTTAAGGAACCTGCAGGAGGCAGAGGTCCAGCTTAGGAGAAGTATTTAGATGCAAGATGGTCAAGAGAACAAGCAAGGACTCAAGCCAGGGAAACATTCAAAACATGTGAGAAACAGCGAGAGACACAAGTGCCTGGTCACAGAAGCTAAGACTGAACACTGTGTTACTATTAGAATAAATATCCTGTTGAGAACAGGGTAAGCTTTAATTATGTGCCGGTGGTATTGACAACCTGCCTGACCATGTTGATATGGGAAGGGGCAAATTGGGTGATTTACCACCAGCTGTGGTGGTATGGGAGTTGAAAACAGCATTACTAATTTCAAATTGCTCTGACACCCTTCTGTCTAACTCATGTATTTTTGTTAATCAATGACAAGAGGACAAGAGTGCTGTTCTTTTTCAAGTTTTCAATAGAATGTATCATCACAGTCAGGAATGAAAGAGGTTATAAGAAAATAATTCACTTTTGTATGAGAATCTTTAGACATTTTTTAGGGTTTTAATAATAGTAAGTATTATAATAGAGGTGCTGAGTGAGTGAAGGCCTTTCGGTATTGTCCAATTTGGGTATTTTGGGTATTTTGGTGTATGCTGCCTTTTGCCCATTGCTTGCAAGGATAGGCTCTAGCTCCTTTGTGTCCCTGATTTGAAAGAAGCTGTTAGAAAAAGAATGGATGTTCTCCCTGTGTTTGCGTGGGTTTCCTCCAGGAGCTTCAGATTTTTTCTCATGGCCCAAAGACATACTGGTACAGTAGGTCAAAAGAAGTTTGAGAAGGTACAGTAGCTGCGTCAGCATGCTTAGGCTGCAAAGGAGGTTACCTGGAAGGTTAATTTGTTTCTAGGAAAACTGAGCCTGGTGTGAGTATGTGCATGTTTGTGCCCGTCTACTCTGCAACTGACTGACGTCCCATCTAGGTTGTATCCTGCCTTTCACCCATTGCTTGTCAGAATGGGCTCTGACTCCCCTGCTACTCTGTATTAGATAAAGTTCTTAGAAAATGAATGGATGGAAGGTTATCTGTTTGCTTTTTTGGCTGGAAAGTTAGTCACACTGAAAGCACGTGACTTGCAGATTAATGTAAGAATATTATATACACAAGCCAGATATTTATTATGATACAGTATGTGCATGAACTAATCTGCTTTATAATGCAATACAATTACTCTTTGGCTGGCTGAAGACCTTTGTCCAATTTCTGGTTTCGGTAAAATTAGCATTTCTTTAAAAACGAGAGAGACTTCTAACAGTAACTTGTTCCTTGGTGGCCTTTCTTTTGTTTTGCTTATGCTCAGAGTTTGACAGAGCAGGGCACAGAAAAGCAAGTGGCAAATGCTTAACTCTGGATATTGTACAAGTAGTTGAGTGTGTTGTTTACATTCAAGGCTGTTTCATTGTCTCATTCATTAAGGTTAGGGTATATGTTTTAGAAGATAATGTCTTAAATTTTAAGTTAAAATAAATTGGCTTTTTATTCATCCACATCCTTTTAATATTATTCCAACATTTGCGTGGAACCAACAAAATAATATAGAAAAAAACAAACTCTGTGGGTATTGATTTCCCAGCAGAGGAAATAGTAATAAAACATAGAAAGTAATCTGTACCCAAGTTATCCTTTGTATGAAATAACAGAGTTAGGGAGAGTTAGAGCTTTACAATGTTACAGTTCAACTAATACATATAGACGAGTCTTAGTATGCAATCACGGTCATTCAGAATCAAGACATGTACTGTATAAATTTATCTAATGGAAATTCCTTATTTGGGAACATAAGGCAGAATGATGCCCTGCATGGATATGTGTTAGGTAGGTGAGTGAGGTGTGATAACCAATACCTTCAAACATTCCTTTAATGAAAGTTGACATTTGCCACTTGTACAGTGATTGCACTGCTGTTCTGGTTAGCCCTGGCCTGTTTCACAAAGCTTTAAACAGCAGTGAACCTTGCTACAGTTAATGAGTTTCACACTAAAGAATGGCAGTCCACTCTCTCCATCATTGAGGAAAAATGCCAGAAGGTCAATAGTATGATTGCTGGACAAGTGGTCTTTTGGAGGAGATGGAGGATGAGAGTCATTATGGTATTTTTTAGTGTGATCATTAGCAGTATGAAGCAAGCTTATATCACGATCTGTACTTACAGTATGTTTATAACAGTTCTGCTTTACTAGAAGGAGCATACTGTAAACCTGGGTAGTGATAAAGCTAGAGTGCATGAGTAAGGGATCCTAGACTAATAAAGATGGATATTGAAGGATTACAGGAAGGTTTTGGGAATAAGGAACAAGCTGCCCAGCCAGTTGCAGAAGCAGATATCCTGGCTTTGAGAAATGACTGCTTGGTTAAATTGGCTGCAGAAACACAAAATGATGTAGATGAGCTGGATGGCTTTCTTTCATTAATAACTATTCGTATGGTCTTAAAACCCAGCCTTCTATTATTAATCTATTTTAGTTCTATTTTTACAAGATTTTTGTAGCTCTGTAATAAAGAAATATTATGACGCTCAATTTGAAACAGTTGTTTGCTAAATATTTTCAGTGCTTTGGTAACTGTTTTTGGTGACGGTTTCACTTTGAGACAGTTCATTTTAGATTAATTTTAATTTTAGTACTGAAATATGCTTTAAACACTACAGAGAGGTTAGATGATAAGCTTGGAAAAAGTGTATTTTTTCTGGCAGGCCTTCTCATCTAGGCTGACATGGTAACTGCATTGTCCGCAGTTTCAAGTTCTAGGTAAAATGTCAAATATCTTCTGAACAATGAAACATTTTAAAACTCTCTGCTCAAACTTTTTTAGATATCTTGACATAAGTATTAGCCAGGACACCATCTGTACTCTTTTTAACTTGTTTTGGGATCTTACATGATCAAGTAGTTGAGACCACAAATTAACATCTCATCCAAAGGATTGCACTTCGCATGGCACAGTATTACATACTGGTCACTGTATCGGGTCTTCAGCTTGAAAATTCTCATCCAGAAGGAAGAGGGCCAGGTACTCTTCCACCAGCCATCACCATCTCCACTAGCAACCTTGTTTTCCTTAGAGGTCTACCATCTCAATATTGACCCATCCCACAGTTGTTTAGCTTCTGGGATCTGACTAGATAAGACTACAGAGTGACAATACTGCTGACCTTTACATTAAGTAACGGAAAGGGAGAAAATGATTATTGCATTAAAAAAGAGGAAATATGTAGTACAGATTATTGCTTATTGTATATGCTAGTTACATAGTACAGAAGATGGTGTTAGGAAAAATATTAATGTTTTGGATATTTTTTAAGGTTAATTTTTCTTCCTGCTGTAGATTTTCACTGATTTTTTGATCCTCCCTCCTTTTGCTTTTCAGTATTCTTCATTTATATTGTATGTACTGTAGCATATATTGTATAATACAGTATACAGTATGTTGCATGTAGCAGGAGGAATTAAGCTTGCACTGGACATTGTAGTCAGGAGAAAACTGCAACATAGAGAATATTTTAGAAATGACAGATATCTGTCACATGTCCTACAAAAGCTTTTTGTCACCTCTGGGGAATTTAAAATATCTTAATTTAAAACCGAAGCAAGAAGATAACATTAAAAAAAGTTGCTTGACAAAGCAATATTTAAATACATTCAGTGGCAGTCCTAAAAGAGCAAGGTGCTTACTCAGACTTTCAATTTAAACATAAGTTAAATAATATCATGATATTTTATGATAGCAGAATGTTTCTATAATTAATCTGATATTGCATATACAGTTCTAGCAGTCAGAACAGAAAGAGACTGCTTATGTTTGGAGCCAGTGTTTTATTTTCCTGACTATTTTTTAACAGTTGTATTTTATGTACAGTATATACTTTTACAGAATTGCAGAATTTTTTTTCTTTTCCTCTCTCTGTCAGTATTTAGACAGAAAAAATGTTTGTTTTATGGATGGCAATGGTCAAAGATATTGATGTGATTCCTTTGGGTGATTTCTCAAAGCTAAAATATGCCCCTCTGGGGCAGAAATGTAAGCCTTGAATCCTTTCTTTTAAACCTAGCCACTAGCAGTGGTTGTTTGAAGTGTCTACAGATTTATTCTTTAATTCTTAATTATTTTAACTCTGACAGTTTGTATGAAAGCAGAGTTACAGCATTTTGGTTTTCATTGCTCTGATTCAATTATATATATAAAAAAAGAATTCAATTACAGTACATAGCAGCTGTTAATAACAGAGAAAGAAGATTTTTATGTAACAGTTTTCTTTTTTTCAGTGACTACAATTTAGGACCAAAGCAAATAACTTAGTACTGTATATTGTTATGTTATTCAAATCTAATAAAAGAGTAAAGGAGTGTTATGTAAAGCAAATAAGTTTTCTGTGTAAATATTACCTGGTCTACAGATATCACATTGTCAAGGAGTGCATTTCTGCTGGTTATACTGTATACCATGGGTCAAAGAAGGATACCTCTATATCTAGACAATAATAGAATACATGGATGGTAAAGTCACTTAAGATTTTTTGGTTACCATGCAGGCAAATTATACAGTAGGTATTTCATTACCATATAGGTATTTCAGAAAATATTTTAGATCTTATTTTTAGAAAGGAAAAGTTTCATTCCTTTAGTATGTTAATGACTAAATCACTCTTTCTTCTAATCAGTCACTATTCTGGCGTGAAACTATCAGAATTGTGTTTAAATGTTGATAGAATATTTGCGCCAAGTTCAGAATTATTGTTGCAGTCTCTTTTTTTGGGGGGTATATGCAAATAATTGTACATCATATAATTACAGTAGATGGAAACATCTATCTAGGATAAATGTTAACAAATTGTTTTATTTCCTTTTCTCATGATCAATATGGAAGTTAATTATGTAGAATTAAAATATGTTTGTTTGTTTTTCAGTGCATGACTAGAGAAGGATAATATCCAAATCCGGTGATAGGAGGAACCCTGTCAGGTCTTCTGTTTTTATCCACCATTTGATTCTGGTAGGAAGACTTTTCATTGATTTGTTTGAAATTTGTTTTCTTGCAATCTTCATTCATTGCCTACAGGGGTCATAGCGTGGCACTGGGGTGCATTCTGTTTAGAATATTTTACATCGTTCTAGATACAAAAATAATATTTGCAGTGACACATTATTATGCTTGTGCAAATGTATAATTTCTTCAAAATTAAATTTTGAAAAGCCAATCAATTCTGACTTTTCAATGTTTCTGGATCTGCATGAATGCATTTGTCTACATATTAGTGTTAAGCAAGGAACATTTTGGGGATTTATGTCTTTAATGTGCATCTGCAGTACAGGAAGCAAGCCAGGCTACTTTACATTGCAAGTCATAAGCTGTATGCCCTCAGTTCTAGCTAATACTCTTCTGTGTTCAGACCTTTTCTGGTTCAGAAATAAAATTGGAAGAGATATTACTGTCTTGTAAATCCCAAGGATGTGCTTCAAAACGAAGACTCTTTCATGCATTCATCTTGAAAGCAGTAACAACATTACATTGAAAACACTGTACATTCCTACAGGGAGCTGTGCTCTGTTTAGCAAAACTGCTTAAATTGTGGATTATTTCCATCACCGTTAGTCAAGGCACTCATCACTGACAGATTGATTAGATTTTTGTTTAGAAAAGAAAACATACCAAAAATAATTGTATGCCACTGATCATTTCAAATATTATTTTCTAGAAAACCTTCAGGGTGAAAGTATTACTGTATGTGCATCACCATTTGGTTCTTATGTACCACCCTCCCCCATTCTATTGTGTGATCATAAACAGATCAGGTGTGTGATTCAATATAATTTTGCTTAATGAGCAATTTTTTTAACAGTACCGTTGATTGATCTGCATTGACTTGAGGGAGATTTCCATTTCTGTAACTTTTATTCTCTCTTAATCATCTATAGTTTCTTATTGACTTGTAAACATGCCTTTCCCCATTTAAGTTCTTCTTTTTTTAAACTTCGCTCAAGCAAATTAGACTGACCTCCCACTCTGAACATAATGAGATTATCTGAAGCAGTGACAAGGCGTGATATGAAGGTAGAAATGTTTCATCTTAAGGAACATTGCGGCATTCTTTTTTATAAGCTTATTACTTAAGACAACTGCTTTGTAGTTTTTTATTTCTGCACAGTTCATGACTCATTCCTCTGGCACCTTGTTAAAAAATGTGTTACAGAGAGATGTAGAATGAAGTAATATCCAAAATTTTTAATGACAAAGATCTCAAAGAGACTTTAAGCATAGAATAATTTTCTGTTTCCTATATTAAAAGGTTATTTAAAAAATGTCAATAGTATAGCATGGTATGGTATTTATAATACTTTTAACAGTAAGAGTATTTTGCATCTTGCGTAATAGATATGACAAAAATGTATGTTTGTTTCAAATAGTTAGATGATGTTTTAGGTACAATATTCCAAAGATTTCTGGGCATCTTTTTTCTCCTTATGGAGATCAATTGTTCTTTTGTTTTCCCTGAGAACTATTGATTAAAATGTATTCAGATTTCTATAGGAGACTTGCTACAGGTATCTGACATTGACAATTACAGGCATTTCACACTCTTCTCTGGAAACAGTTTTGTATGAAATATATTTTACAATTATTTATAAACACTTTTATGAAACTGCAGACTTAAAGTATATTGGATGCTACAGTGTATGTAATTATAGTCCATGCTTGTAACAATATGCTTTTGAGAGAGGGTCTGTTTTATTCATCTAGCACTGTCTGCTTAATGTTGGAAATCACAAGCTTCCCCAAGCAACACATTATGTGGAGCACAATGAAACAAGATTGTTTCATGTGTGTCTGTAATTGACCTTGAAATAATCATTTTCCAGGTCTTTGTAAATGTGCTATTAACAGACTAAATGAGCCGTTTCAAAAGAAAAGGTTGTCACTTTTTCTCTCTCTCACTGATGTCCAGTCTTGCTCTGAATCCTAGAGGTAAACAACAATATGTCTTTTTTCTTATGACTTTATGTTTTCTTAAAAATTAGGAGGAATATTTCAGGTGATTTGAGAAAGTGAAATATGTCCCCATCAAGAAATTCTGGAGGTCATTAGGTCATATGAATCAATGCAGTTGATTGGCATATGTCTGTGTATTACTAAGCTTCATATTCTTGGTTTTTACAGATCTTCTGAGCATACATAAAGAGATAAAATGCTATATACAGTATGTGAAAATCATCAATACTGTGTAATATGCTGTCATGGTATACTTTACATTACATCTTTACTGCAAAGGCTATCTTAAAGAGTTGACTGCCTAAACATGTTTTATAAAGTGGAACCAGGAATCTGAAATTAATAAACAGTATGGTTAGCATGAGGAAACATTCCTTGTTTCAGAGTAGCCACAAACTATATCAATTGCAGTTCAACAATGAGCAGATGAAGAAAACCTTGCTTTTTACATAACTTTTAATAACTTCCAGATTTCTTTGTATGGTCATTATTTTGAAATGTCACACCTGATACAAAAGAAAAAAGAAGTAAACAAACTTGGTTTTAAAAGCAAATTATAATTGACACTTCCAAAGAAGGTTATAATTACTATACTGTATGTACTGTAATGAAGTAAGTTAGAATGAACAATGCCTAAAGTACAATGATACAAAGCAAGTGGTTACAACTTTTCTAGTTAAAAACAAAATCAGAAACCAACACCCCTCCTCCTCCATTGTATTGACATATCTCACTTAAGATCTGTGTGCTCTTTGAGTTGTTTTATCGATGAAGGTTCCTGCAACTCCTTATATACCTGTACTTGTTTTCATGGCCGCTTGGGTTTCTAAGTGTCTTTTCATGTATAATCCCTGTATTGAGAGTGGTATTTGTGGTACTTTTGCACGCTTGGAAGTTCTGGAAAAAAAAAAACAGAAAAAGACAAACTGGAGATGTGGTGAGCAGAGTTTTTTAAATAAAACAAAGCATTTGGTATTTTTTTTCCATTCTTAAAAGAAAGATGGAAGAAACACTTGCCAGAATTCAACTTGCCTCAAATGTAAATAACAAAGCACTTGCAATTATCAGATGAAAATTATTTGTGGTATATATAAATATATATATATCAATATATATCAATAAATAATGTCACATATTAACTATGAACTGCAGTACTCACTTCTAGTATAATAGCAGGAAAAACACAACTTTAAGTCATTTTGAACACTGAAAAGATTATTCTAGCTCTTATAAACTAAACAGAAATGAGATAACCTAATCAAATTATATTATTTTGTGTACGCTTTATTATCTTTATAGTTTAGTTCATGCAATGCTCACTTGATGAAGAAGTCTCAGTACCGTGGAAGACTTTGGTCCATGTAGCTTTTTTGTTCAAGGCTCCATATGATAGTAAATCTTTTTACAGTGTTAGGGAGGTTTCACCAGATCATAAGCTACTAACCATCACCATGTACCATAAAGAAGAAAACATCATATGTACTGTCATTTATCAATGTACAGCATGTTGTGTTTGCGATAGAAGGATGGAGGAATTGATACAGTATAACTAACAATGAAAAAGGCCAAGGGAAAAATACTCAGCACTGGGAGGATAAATTATCATTGTCCAGCAGCAGACCATGAGGTGAAAGATTAAAATAAGAAAAATTAGTTTGTTTCACAGCCTAAGATTCTTTATAGGCATTATAAAGTGAAACAAGTAATAGGTTTATTCCATGCTGAAAAAAAGAAGAAAGAGAACACCCTCTTTTTTTCAGCATGGAATAAACCTATTACTTGTTCCTTTGCAGCCTACGCATGCTGACGCAGCTACCCACCTGAATTATAAAGTGAAAGTTTTAAATGTAATTGTTCACTCTGTTTTAATTTGTTTCATGTGTAGAGACTCACAACCATCAGAACTAGGACCAAATTCCATTGTCAGTGTCTGAAATTCTTTTGAATTGTTGGCTAAAAAGCCCATCTTTGGCTTGGCAGATGCTACCATAAGTATGTATTTTTTTATTGTCAAATTCCTAGATAGCATGCTTGAATGCTTGCTTAAACTGCCACAAAGTGACCCTTGAGAGAGAAATGTAAGGGCATTTTGAAACATACAGCAAGGCAGGCATAAAAGAAGATGTGCTTTCTGGTATAAACAAAAAGGCAGATGAATAAAACCGGATGCGGAGATGTTTTTATTATTATTCCTAGTTTAACTTTCAGAAAGAATGCTCAGAATTCAAAGATGCACCGTATATTATACAACAGTTTTCTTCCAGAAATCATTTGTATTTGGTTTTGAAATTCCAAAGAACATATTTTAGGTGCCCGAGATATGAAATTAAAAAAACTATTTAGTCAGTGCTAGGTTCTGGGAATTGAAAAATATGGCAATACTGTATGTAAATAGCATGTAAAAACAGAAATGCATGTTTAATCCCTCAATCTCTCTCTCTCATGCTGTAGTCCATTCTAGGTAAAATGTTCTTTAAACATGCAAAGAAAGGTTACATTTTCAGTTATTATAGAATATTTTGTTTCTCAAGCTTACATAAATTGTCATTTATTGGCACATTAGTATCTCTATTAAATATAAACAGCATATATTAATTCTTTTAAAGAATGCTTTAATCATACTCAAGGCTTTTTATTGTTCACTATTTTTCATGTACTAACATTAAAATGAGAATTGACAAAATATTTCTATTAAATAAGGCAGTATAAAGAAATCTCCCTTTATTGTAATAATATTTCAGTTTGATTTCCCTTTTCTTACTCTCATTATATTTTGTTATGGCTGCATCCAATATACAGTAAGCTTTACAATATTGCTACTCTGTAACTACTGTTTGGATAATGTACAGTACTCATACAGTGCAATGGCATATGTAGAAAAAGATATAGAAAACGGAATGGTCTGTTCAAAGACTTATCCATCTTATCTGCCTGTTAATCAATAATCTGTGTAATTTAAGAAGGAGATATTTAAGATACTTTCAAATGTGATAGTCTGATGAATT